CACATTAAAAGTTTATAAATGACTGCAGGATTGTTCCATATATAGGGCCGACTTTCGATAGGTCCATAATTGACCCTAGCCCCAATACAGTAAATCACTTCATAATTAATAAATCGATAAAAAAAATGATAAAATTAATATAAAAATTTCAACAAAATTAGTTAATTTGAGATATTAGTTGCTTTTATAATTCTGTAGAGCTCGGTCCATAATTGACCCAACCGCTATTAAAGCATCTATACCAAAGTTCAGCTCAAAAGTTATTATATGACGAAAGGATCGATTCACATATAGGGCCGCCTTTCGAAATTACCATAACATTTATTACACATGTCTAGATGGTGGATATATAAGATTCAGCATAGCGGAATGTAATACTCCTACTGGTTTATTCTTAAACGAATTATCGCCAGACGGCCTAATATAGAAGCAAGGTCCTATTATGGACCATGCCTCAAAATATCGTGACGAAAATAATATGTTAGTTAGTTAGTTTGAAAGGAAGAAGAAGAAATACATCTAGGCCTCTATAGGGTTTGTTGTGCGCACCTTAACCAATGCCCAGGTGGGATCGGTCTACCTAAAACACTAACAACTAACCTATCGGAGGTCACAGAAAATAATATATAAGTTATTATATGACGAAAGGATCGATTCACATATAGGGCCGCCTTTCGAAATTACCATAACATTTATTACACATGTCTAGATGGTGGATATATAAGATTCAGCATAGCGGAATGTAATACTCCTACTGGTTTATTCTTAAACGAATTATCGCCAGACGGCCTAATATAGAAGCAAGGTCCTATTATGGACCATGCCTCAAAATATCGTGACGAAAATAATATGTTAGTTAGTTAGTTTGAAAGGAAGAAGAAGAAATACATCTAGGCCTCTATAGGGTTTGTTGTGCGCACCTTAACCAATGCCCAGGTGGGATCGGTCTACCTGACTAAAACACTAACAACTAACCTATCGGAGGTCACAGAAAATAATATAGTTATCCACTATCTTTATTAGGTTAGGTTATAAATGCTGCGTGTTATAATTTATGCAAGTGGGTGGAAAAACTTTATAAGGCGATCTATGAAATGAATGATTGGCCAATGTTCGAAAACTCAGTTTTCTGGACGTAGCCTGGCAATGACAGAGAAAATGTTCCAACATTTCAATGTCGTCTTAATCTGTTCGTCCAATTTGAATAGTTGACAATACCTGTTATATGAGTATTCAAATAAAAAGCTGTCAAACTTTTATAAACCTAACCACCTTTTCGTCACTTACGATTAACAGTTAAAATTTTACCTCTTTCAATTAGTTATTACGTTACTAGTGTCAGCAAAATATTTCTATTTGAATGAATAACAAAAATTCCAAAATACTAACATGCGGTAAAGATAATTGTATATGAAACAGTATTCTTTATAGCAAGAACATTTATTTTATATTAAAATTGACGTCATAAACAAATGACAGCAGCACAAGGCATACAAACTGTAGTTTAAACAAATTTTAGACAAACAAATAGCGACGAAGACGTCGCTGTCAGTTAATAAGTCTGTTAGTCTATAATGAAAATTCAAAAAGCTAACAAGTTGTTCTATTTAAAAGATAAAAAATTATTAGTTAATTATAACAAAAATATTGCTATAAATCTATTAAACTTCCGATTTCAATATTAATTACAAAAGCGACAAAAAAACTCAAATACACTAGATAAACGATATTTTGTATGAATCATTTAAAAGTTCTTGAACCTCAGTTTTAATAAATTTATATTTGTAATACAATCTAAATGCAAGTGTGTTCGTATAAATACTGTCCCAATAAGCAAAAACCTTTGAAATGATGTAAATGTGTATTTGAAAACCTATTCAAATTTCATACATAGCCTTTGAGAACAAATTTGAAAATTTTTGTTTTCAAATGGAAAATTATGGCCTTCTCAAACAAAAAGGCAGTTAGAAATCAAACGTATTTTTCAAATGTATTTCAAATTTAAAAAAAGGCTAGAGGTAAGCTTGAAACTAAAAAAATTTTCAAACGTATTTCAAGTATTCTTTATTATTATTTTCATACATATTTCAAACCCTAATTGTAATGCTAACTATTGCAAAATTCATATATTTTTTTACATCACCTGAAAATAAAACATTCATACATTTATTTTAGCATATTTTTCTTTTATATCTCCGATTATTTCTCCTATATTTAACGTTTTTTCGCTCCCTTGCTGTAGAAAAAATGTTCTGTTTTTATTTTTCTAAAATAATTTATTTTTTGAAAGAAACTTTTCTAAGTTCAATTAAAACAAAACTTTGAAAATTTTATAAATATCACACATTATATTTTTTTAAGCGTTTTTTGAAATTATCATGTTTATTTCAAAGGCTAAACTTTAAAATTTGAAAACAATTTGGAAAATACATTATTTAGTTAAGAAAATTTTCAAAAATATTCACAGGTTTGAATCGATGTTTATTGGGGTAAATGTACACCCAGAAAAAATTGTAAGTAATTGTGATCGAAAGCAAATGTATAATGTAATAATAAATGTGTAAAGTGTTGTTGTCAAAATTTTGGCACAGCCTTCATTGACATATGGGTAATTCCATAATGTGACATACTGATTTAATAAATAACTCTAATTGATTGTTTGTATTATTTATTATTTACATTTATTAAAAATTATATCTTTATTTAAGTTTACATATCCTTTAAGTTTACATATCATATTTATTATTATGGTCAATCGAAATTTTTATAGGTATACTCATTTCTTAACCAAAACAATTTTAGGATAAAGTAAAAATTCATAAAACATTCAAAACCGTTTTTCTCGATATTTTTTGAGTTATGCTTGCCTTGTAGAAAATATGTTTTGTTAATCCAAAAGAATTTAAAAGCAAATCGAAAAATATTTATTTTCACCATTTCTGCACAATTTCCCATCCTTGATTTTGGCAATACATAACAACTTAAAGCTTTATGCGTTACGTTTTGTTTTTATAAACTAACAAACTAAGCACCAGAACAACATATACCATATGAAGCTTTACGTTGTTGTTGTTTTTTCTTTTTGTCAATTTGTCAAAATTTTTGTCAAAAATTTTCGGAGGTTGTCTGCGATTTTTGCTCATATCTCTGTTATTTACATATGAACAATGGACCGCACAACACATTACAGGGAAAATGCATTCTTCAGCCGCACTGTTCGTGTGTAAAAAAAACTTCCTGCAGAAGTGTTTCCCGCCACTTTAAATGTGAAAAAGTTTAAATCAAACACTACTCCCTCTATCCTCCCTCCCACAACCTATTTTCCTTGTTCCAACACAATGCACTGCATAAGTAGGGGTCATTCCCTGAGTCCAAGAAAAAAACGATTTTGCTGATTTTTTAGAAACTTTTTGAAGGATTCCGAGGATTTCTGGGGTCTTCAGAAAATTAATTTTAAGAGACCACAGACAGACAGTCCGACATGGCTTAATCGACTCCGCTATCTGCAAGGTTTCAGACCATACATGCATGTATGTGTACTATATAGGATCGGAAAATTATATTATAGAAATTACAAACGGAATAACAAACTTATATATACCCTTCTCACGAAGGGTATATTTTATATAAAAACTTCCCGAAGGATTCCGAGGTTTTCCGAGTCCGACATGACTTAAACGACTCCGCTATCTATAAGGTTCCAGAACATACATATATATAGATATATATATATATATATATATAATATAGAATTGGAAAAATATAAAATAACGGAATAACAACATGATATACCCTTCTCACGAAGGTGAAGGGGATAAAATAAAATGTTTCTATTGTTAGGTAGTTTTGGAGTTATAAAGTTGTAAAGTCCGCATGGCTGTTAAAGAAAGTTTTAAGTTGCTATATTTGGTATACCCTACACTAACTATGTCCGTAACGTCGGAATTTAAAATTAACGTCCGACGTCCACCATCTCTTCCGTAGCCCATTCGTCAATCATGCTCGATGCATTTCCCTGGGAATACAGATTCCAAAATTATCGGAAAAATCCCGAGACAGTGTCAGTTAAGTAAGTTGACTTAGGTCCCTGTAAATTCTATGGCGTCGGAGTTAATTTAGTATATACCAAATATTATAACTGTCCAACACACAAGAACAACATTCAAATTTTTAAGTCTCATACATCTGTTCTATATGACGTTTTATGAAAGATGGATGTGAATAATTCCCTAATCAAAATATACTAGTGTAGAGTATTATACGTACGTGTATACCCGATTATACTTTCTTTTTGTTTTCATTTCAAAATGCATACAAATTTAATCGCTGTCCGGTTGCTGACAATTTCTTTATCATGACTCTGAGTGTGTTTTATAGTAAAATTCCATAAAAAAAATTATGTTCAATTAAAATTTGATAACAATTACACTAAATAAAACTTATAAACAATTTGATTAAAAATTAAGTACTATTAGTAATATAATATTAGTATTTAGTACTTATTGAGACAAGTTGACTTTGGCGTTTACTTTTAATTTTGTGTGATATCATTTGTAATTTCAGTAAAGTGTCTGGCAGTAATATGAATTTAGGGTCTACGCGTAATAGTCACACCCTATTTATGATAACTATTTATTTAAAAAAGATAATATTTAGAACCCCGACCTTGTGAGTATATGCTGTAAAGGCAGTGCTTAGCAAGAATGTAATCGTTTTTGCCTGTTCAAATTTAAGACGTTTTATTTTTATTTGTTTTGTTAAAGTTATTTATACATACATGTGGTTAAGTTTGACATAGTAACATTGTCATTGTGGACTTACTTTCTGTATGATATTCTATATTTGTAATAATTAAATATGCAAGTGTTTGCTGTTTTTTTTATATTTATAATTAATTGTCTGCTTCTTTGTTATTTTACTAATATTATGTTTCTATAGTTTCTTATTAAATACAATTATAAATATTAGTTTTTAATATTTCCCTTTTTTGTATTTTACAGAATGGGTTCATTTAATTCGGCCCCAAAAATAAATAATTCCGATTCGCAAGATGATAGTCTAGTGATACCCAAAGGTCTAAGCACTCCAGAGCTTCTGCAACATTGCAAACATTTACGTGGTGAGAATCAGCCGCCGCTACTAACACGTTTCTTTTTGAAACCCTTGTCTACACTTTCTGCTCAAATGGTTTCATCAGATTTAACAGATGGTTTGCGTTGTCTCAAATTAGATACTGTATCTCGAGGTAAAAAATTGTTTTTTTGTCTTTATACAATTGTTTAAGATTCGAATATATTTAGAATATTATTACCTTACTTACATTTAATTGTAAGTTGTATACAATTTGGTTTTGAATTAATGTAAATTTTCTATTGTCTTTTTTGTGCTACTGCAAATTGCCTAAACTTATACAACTACGAATGACTACAGTATGCAGTGCCCCCATATCGGATCCAAATCATATACGTTTGTTGCAATGGAATCTTTTATCACAAAGTAAGTTTGTATATATCGTTGTTAACGTAACTGACAGGATATTGCGTAGACATTGGGATTGATTTAAATTTCTAATTTATTCTCAAAATATATGCGCATATATTTTATTTGTAACAATTTTGAGATAAATTTAAATGATTGGATGTTTTTATAAATGTTGAATTGAAACTGAAATTTATTTTGAAAAATTTTATAGACCAACATACATATGTATGTATATATTTATGTAAAATTTTAAGATTACAAATTGGACATCTTAAACTCATCGGAAGCAGGTCCAGAGGTTTTCAAAGTATGGTGCCTCTGTTGGTTTAGAGATCAATACAACATTTTTTATTTTTCTTAGTTCTTATTAAGCTTTATTTTTAAATTTGAAATCTTTCTTAATAATTCTCAGCTCTTGGTCAAAATAATGATGGCTTTGTGCGATGTCCCGAAGAGGCTTTAACTTGGGAAAATCGTAAATTCCTAATAGTACAAGAAATTTTACAAAATAATCCCGATATAATATGCTTACAGGTAAAGTATCGCCATTACAGTTTAACATATTCAATCGTATATGTATTAAACCTATTTTTCATTCAACAGGAAGTGGACCATTACAAATTCCTTCAAAATATTTTGGGTACACAAAACTACGAAGGCATTTTCTTTCCTAAACCTGACTCACCTTGTCTCTATATTGAAGAGAATAATGGACCCGATGGCTGTGCCATTTTCTATAAACGCGATAAATTTGAATTGAAGAATTTCGACACACGCATTTTAGAAGTTTGGCGTGTTCAAAGTAATCAGGTAGCCATAGCGGCCAATTTGAAGATTAAAGCAACTGGTCGTGAAATTTGCGTATGCACTACACATCTTAAGGCTCGTCATGGTTCATTACTTTCGAAACTTCGCAATGAACAAGGTCGTGATTTGATACGTTTCGTTAAACAATTTGCTGGTGATCGTGCTGTACTGTTGTGTGGGGACTTTAATGCTGAACCCATCGAACCTGTTTATTCTACCATTTTGAATTGTGAATTTTTGAAATTATCCAGTGCCTATTCGGATATACGAGCTGAAAGTGATGAATGCAATAATGAGAATATCACCAAGGATAAATTAGACAATTGCGATAAAGTGCAAAAGTCCATACAAAATGAGCCGCCATACACCACCTGGAAAATACGTGAAGATGGCGAAGTATGTCATACAATAGATTATGTTTTCTATACCAAGGACAATTTGAAGGTAAATTACACAGGGCCACAAAATCTGAAAAAATTAAAAAACAGTGACTAGATCATAGTTTTCTAAAGAATTTTTAACCGACATTATCTCAGTAAATAGAAGAGATATCTAAACAAATCAAAAGCCTTTTTTGGGTAAAATTATGACAAATTGTGACATATAAGTCGTAAAATCTTTAGAAAGTATACTATGGTCTCTGCTCTTTTTACTCATATTACCAATTATGTATACTTAATATTTGTATCTTACAGGTAAAAAATTGTTTAGAATTCCCACAAGGTGATGAAATTGGTAAAAATCGCACACCCAGCTTCCAGTATCCCTCGGATCATTTCTCTTTGATTTGTGATTTTGAAGTTATAGATCAGCAGCCTAACGATGCCTCAGAGGAGAAAAGTAAAACTCAATGAGTTGTAGAGAAGAGTGAATTAAATTTTTTTACGTTTTAAGTTTAAAACAAAGGGAATGAAAGAATCGAAGTAGAATAAGGATTTTATGTTTATTTGATTTTTATTTTCGACTACATCACATACTTTACTTACTACCGCAAACAATAATACAAAGACACCCTACATAAATACAAACCGTCAAACACAAACATACATCCACACAGATGCAGATTCACTCTTACAAATTGTGATATTAGTTTTTAGTTACATACCTATTCACATACATATTTACTACATAATTGATACATTGAAACAAGTACATATGGCTACACGCAACATACATACATACAAAATAGGGATTTACGAAATCTAATGCTAAATATCCCAAAACTTTCGCATTCGAATGGAAAAAAGGTAGCGTTTATTTGTTACATCCATAATTTAAACTTACATACAACATACACAAACTAGTTATCTTTTTTTGTAGTTTACTTTAAATATTTTGTGAATTTATTTTTTTGCGATTGTTTTTTTTTTTTTTTTTTTGTTTATATATTTTCGTTTTTTTAATACAAGACATTTATCAATAACTTTTATAGAGGTAATAATAAAATAAAAAGTAAAAAATAAATATTTTATAAACCTTGGTCTTTTTATTATTATATTTACCGTCTACATGGGAAATGTCCCATAATCTAGAGCAAAGATAAGCTAATAATTTATTATTTAACTATGTATGTATTCTTATCGATGTGATGTATTCAGATTTAACAAAGAAAATCTAAAACTGTTTTTTCAGTACGTCAGACATTTCTACGAATTTACGAATTTCTAAGTAAAATTCGTGTTCTCGATCACGCTTTATATTTTTGTTTAGAAATTTCCAAACAATTTTGGAAATAAGAGAAATAAATAATAGTTTTGTTACTCGCTGATCCGATATTTTAGCCATAACAGCAATTTCAATAACTGGGCCCAAATTATGGAGATTTCGATCGATATCGTATGCCATAATTTGTTCCCTGTATTATAGCATTATGTTACCAGATTTTTTTTTTGATACATCACTTTAGTGGGGAGGGAATATTGGGTTTGTGCTGATGATTGTAACGCATAGTAATATTGGTCCTATACCCACCTTAAAGTAAACCAATCGGCTTAGAATCATTTTACGAATCGATTTAGCTATGTTCGTCTGTCCGTCCGGCCAAGTAAACATTGTAATCAAACTACAGCTCGCATTTTTGTAGATAAATGAATGAAATTTGGTACACGGTCTTCTATTATCTCAGTGAAGAAGCCTTATGAAAATGGTTATGATCGGTCCATTATTTCACCTAGCCCACATACAACTGAACCCCCGAAAAGGGCTTGTAAACCTTGTAATCAAAGTACAGGTCGCAATTTTGAAGATAATTCAATGATCTATTGTATTAGAGACGAATCATATTGAAAATGGGTAACATCGGTCCAATATTTGGCCTAGCCCCCATACAATTGAACCCCCAGAATAGGGTTTTAAGTTCATAATTATGTTCAATAAACTCGTATCTCGACATGAAGCTGCAAAATCAAGTTCTATACTATCCTTCATGTATTTTTTGGTGACAGGGCCTCATTAACCCTCGCCCCTATTAAAAGCCCCCTTCGAAATATGACATAAATGTACACAATTTTATTCAACAAAAATGACTAAAGTATATCTGAAGCAAGGTACAATTCAACTTAAATTCTTTATTATGAACACTAAATCACATTTTATTTTTATAACTGGTGTAGGGTATTAGACGGTCGGCCTCGTTCGACTACAACTTCTTACTTGTTTCTCCGTTTTTTGAAATTTCGAACCCTATCGCATTTTTTAAGATAAATGAAAAAATGAGCTTAAATATGCATACATACCGTCACCTAAAACGCAAACGGCCCTAACTAACCAATAATTCAAAATCGATTTTATTGTTGATTCTAATGTATTACATCAAAAGAAATGTCCTCACCAAAAATTGGACTCCTCCAACCATAATTATCGATTTTATTGACAAAAAACAAAAGGCCCTATCTACAAAACATTAATATTAAAGGTAAAAAGTCCAATTTATCCATTTTTATATACGCCATTGTCAACTATCATAACAAATGATAGATTTCACTATTAAACTATTTGTTTATTTACTACAAATAAATCGCGTTAATAGAAACAAACTTTTCAATTTAAATAGTTTTTTGCTTCTCCTGTAAAATTTTAAAAATGTTAGATAGGGCCGTTTGCGTTTTAGGTGACGATATGTAAATTTCATATTTTAGTTCAAGAGTTATTAAGGTTGTATATTGTTTTTTCATTTTAACGGAGGGTCGAAAAGCATCCTGGGAATTTTCAGATAGTTAAATGAAAATTGGCATATAGCTCTAAATGCGTTGTAAATAGTGAGCTTACCACGTTTGTTAACATTTAAACAATGGATGTGCATAAAGTTTAGATTGCGACAACTAATTGTTGCAATATTCACAAAGTTGCGTGGTCTACATTACATGTTGTTGTTGTATGTATGTATATACTTGACAACGGATGTTATTGAAAAATTTTTTGTCAATTTGGTACCACGCGCGTATAGTTTTTTCCTCTGTGTACAGAGAATTGAATTTCCTACAATTTGAATAATATTTTTGCTTATCATTAGTTGGTTTCGAGCTGTAGTGCATAATTTTTGAATTGCACTAATATTTTCAAATCTTAATATACTAGATTGTACCGATAACAAATTAATCATAATTTTTACTTTACTCAGAATCTGTTAATATATGCTTATTAGAGTCCTGCATGAGTAACTCGATTTGCCACACACAATGAGTGACTCACTGTTTTGCACTTAACTCATTGTTTGTTTAGAATAGTATTTCCAAAGTTCTGTTATACTCAAACGTTGTGAGTACTATCAAGTGAATGTGCACTTCATTTAAATCGAGTGAGTAAACAATTTGATTATGTTAAAACAATACAAAATATATTGTTTGAATCGAATGAATCGATTCAAACTTTTTCTTGAATAAATGGTGAACATTTTGAATGCTGTTTAAACTAGTTCCCGTTCCCGAATTCGTTGAAATTTGGTAGTCTTGAGTACAATTGATGACAACATAATATTATGTTCGAATATTCGAAATAAAGTTCGAAAATTCGAAGTTATGTTCGAAAAATTTTGTATGCTTTTAAATTATGCATTGCGTAAAGCTGATAAAACCAGTTTCCGTGGACCAAATTGGCTGAAATTTGTCAGTGTTAAGTACAGTTAATGACGCTACTATATTATCTTCGACTATTCGAAAATTTGAAGTAATATTCGAAAAATCTGTTAATTTGTCGAACATATTTTTTTTTGCTGTCACTCGATTCACTCACTGTATAGTACTTGACTTGAATCACACAAAGACTCTAATTACTTGTATCGTTTGAGCACTCCTTATTTTCAAATATACTATTCATTTCATTCATAAGACAATGAGTGAGTCAAACACAGTATTTGAAAAAAATCAAATGTTTTAATTTTTTATTTAAGTCACTCATACAGGGCTCTAATGCTTATACACTGTTACACATTTTACCTTAGAATCGCTTTATGATAGCAATGTCTGTCTATCCATAATTACAGATAGTATCACAGGTATCAAGAATTGAAGACGGTTCTCTATTTTAGAGCTAGTTGAAGTCGTAGTCTGATTTCAATGAAATTTATTGGAAATATTTTACTGACAGACTTTGTAAATTATGTCCACTAATTTTTTTGAAGTTATATTCATCATTATGATCTGTGACCCTATCAGAAATTTCGGATAGAGGGACACAGCACAAGTTAGCTCGAGTTTTTAATTTATTGGCATTAAAGCTATGCAATTTTGTGAAAAAATTTCCCATATAGTTATGTATATTATATGTATGTAATCCAATGAAATAACTCAGTATATAAATTACTCAATAACTTAAGGTCTAAGCCGCGTTAACACCATCTCCGGTTATCGTTTAACCTATACATATTCTACCGGTTAACTCTTTCACGTATACGGGACACCGGTGTCCCAAGATTTTTCTCGATTTGGAGCGTAATTTTGAGTTAAGAGCTACAATTAATGATTATTTCCAAAGAAAACTAGGTTATTTTTTAAAATTTGATAGCATTTTATGCAAAACATAATAATATCCTACGATATCCTTCGAAAAAACTTTTTCCATTTTTCATCAAAAATAATCGATATACGTCAAAATAAAGCGTCTAGTGAAGTCATATTCTTAAAAATTTCAGCGGTTTAGTTTTGTGCGTGAAAGTGTTAAAATATTTTTTGTATGAAAACTGTCAATTTAACCTTACATCAAATTGGTTGACTCAAACGGTAAGTTTTTGATTGCGTTTGTAAAAAACTCACATCCCATATATACATGTGAGTTTTTTTCACTAACACAATAAAAAAACTTACCGTTTGAGGCAACAAATTTGATGTGTGGCCATGTCGCTTTACGGTTTACAACTCAGTTGAGTTGAAATGAAAACAACTCAACTTCTTTTTGGTATTATGAATTACAACTCATTTCAATTGAAATTATTTGAGATTGATTGAGCAGAAATCGTATTTTTCGTAAACGACTAAAGTATTGAACATCTATTCTATTCATCTGAAATGAAATTTAAGACAATTTAAAAAAACTTTTCTTCGATTTTTCATAAAAAATATTATAAACAATTGAGTTGTACAACTGCTTTTATTGAGTTGAAATTTAAAAAAAAAAGTTGTAATAAATTTCAACTTTAAATTTTAGGTTATCAATAATACCAAATAGCTAAATTTCAACTACAGAAAAATTGAGTTGTAAACCCTAATAGGGGCATAATTTTAGTAAAGGAATAATGAAAATGGAAGATACCGTTTTTATGATATCCTTGACTCAAGGACATTTTTTGATATCATTATCCTTATTTTAAAACCATAATATTTCAAATAAAGATTTGGCAAACTATGTTATATAGGCATTAATTACAGTCTAAAATTATTAAAATCGGATAAATATGTTAGAATATATGTATACTATATCAAATTTAATCCTGTTTAGAAAACCCGGCTTTCATCTAAATCGGAGAAAATATGTGAAAATTTTTATATTTTCAGAAGTTAAAATGCATATAAATTAAGAATACGAGCTAACTTTTTTAAAACCTTTGGTTATTTTGGTCTATTAATTGTCTACTTTCATTTCCCGTTGGTCTCATTCGGGAAAGATTCGAAGACCCAAAATTTGTTGAGCTTTATTAGAGCTTTAGAACGTAAAAGAAATTCGTTTTAAAAGAAAACAATGGCCTTTATTTTGATTGACTGATGGTTATCGGCCAGATTTTCTTGGGAGATGACATTGCTCCAAATGCTATTGATAAAATGTGGCCATAATTAAGTATACACGATTTTAGGTAAGCTGGCAATTGTACAAAACCACGTGTGGTTTGGCCCACGCTTTATTGGTGGCGTGTCATAATGTCCATCGACATTATGACACACTAAATTAAGACATAGTGTCCATGGACGCTATGAAATTTCAAAAGTGTCACATGTCTATAAGCAAAATGACATAAAGTCCGTGGACTTCAAAGAGTCAATTTATCAAAAAAGGCATAATTTGGCGAAGCCGGTATTCGAATTACCCCAGAGTTTAAAACCCCCCTATAACATAAACCAAATTTAGGGACAGAGAAGATGAAAACATTCATCAAATATTCCATTTAAATCTGTCAAGCGATATAGACTGTTCCCTATTGTTCACTGTGCACTATTTATAAAATCCCAAAAATTTACGACGGAATTTGTTACTGTTTGAATTGAAGCTTAAAAAATAGTGTAAAATATAGACCTCATAAAGATATCAATCGTTCATTATTGTTTTCTTAAGCACATTTTAATAAATATTTATTTATAATAATATATAAATTAACATTTAATAAAAAAATAATTTCATTCGATGGGATTTTAAAAGGGTTTTGTGAGATTGACTTAAAAACTACTTAAATTATTTACATTTAAATTTAAAATGTTTTTAAAAGATTTTATGTATTCCTTTCTGATTGAGGATCGGCCACACCAAAGGCGGATATAAAAACATTTACTACCGTAACAATAAAAATACCAATAACTGTATAATTATTGACTTTATTAGCACGACAAATCTCCTTTTCGTTTTTAACATTGTATTTACTATTGAGTATTAAACCAACTCCAACTATGATCTGCAAATATATAATATAACAAAAAATAAATGGGGTAATGTTTTAACAGATATACAATGTCTTAAGAATGACTTACTTGGAAAATGATGCTTAAAGAAATAAAAATTAAACTGGCATAATAGTAGGGATGTCGGTCATAGGACTCCAGCACATAACGCAATTGATTGGCATTGGCAGATAATAAGGCCAGATCCATCATTCCTTGTGCCAAAGTCTTTTTGTGTTGGTAAGCATTTATATCAGGAATAGGGGTCTCGACTCCATTAATATTTACAAAACCTGCACCATCATAACCGGGAAAAGCAAAACTGGGACGTCTAGTGGGTGGCTTCACAGGATGGTGATTTGCTACAACACCATGTTCATCGTTTGGCAGTAGACCATCATCGACACCCATACGTGGACCTATAAAATTTGGTCGATCATCATATTCATCGTCGTCATCAGTTTCAGGAACTGAATTTTTCAAGTAAATTGGGATGTCAAGCAAAATAAAGAAAATTATAAATAAAAAGCAGTGGGATAGGGTACAAGCATTACATACAACAATATAAATGTTTAGGCAATGCCTCTTACCTGCTCTTGGAATACGTGGTATACGACCATCAATATCATCAATTTCTGAAGGTGGATATAAATCGTGTTGCTGCAAATAAAAATTTTAAATGAATGTAAAAATAATCACTATTTTATTCGTTATATAAGTAAAGAATTTAATATGATTTATAAAAAATAATATCTATAACTAAACTAAAAAGAAATCTAGAAAAAGTTAATTTTAACTTCAGAGCAGATGCATTGCCAACATCATACGATCGGACTTGACTCAAACCGTCACCTTAGTAACCCTGCAGTTCGGGGGAACAGTACCGAAGTACAACTTTGGGTTACCCAACTACTCAGATAAATAGTAATAACCCAAAGGAGTCAACACTTTATTTTTGTAAGTGTCTACTCTATAGATTACTTGCATACAGTGAACATCGTCTCCGCACTCGCTTACGAAAGAAACGAATCTCGTTTGAAAGAGTACATTCGTGACGAAAGGCGAATTAGAGTCAAGCAAGTGGTTAGACGTTAGAGGAAATAATTTTCGGATGCATTTACTCTTTGTCGAATTGCTGGGAAATCCATTATTCAATACAACGATTTACTCATTTATTATAAACCGAATATTATTACACAATCGTTGTTATTTTAAAATTTCTGAAGATTATTCTAGTTTTAGATCTTGGGTTAATAATGTATGTACCAAGGTCTATCAAATTCTTCTGTGTAATAATTCAGCAGTTCGAAAAAGACTCAATTCATCCGAAAATTACAATAACATCTACTAACAACTAACCCCTTGGTTGGCTCTAATACGTCATCACGAATTTACACTTCATGAACGACAACTTAGAGAGGTCTCTGTGTAATGTATGAAGTGATGATTGACTTTCTCCTAGGATATCCCTCAGAACTGCTAGAGTTAATTATGGACTGATCCTTATAAAATATTTATTTCTGTGAAATGTCATCCCAATACGTAAATTCTGAACAAAATATAATTTTCTTAAGGCTAAGCACAATTTTAACCATACACTTTTAACAAAAGCATTTTTAAGCAAGTAAGAGTGCTATATTCTGCTATGCCGAATCTAATATACCCACCATCAAACCGTATGCCGTATTTTGGTTTAGATTAGACCGATTTTGGTTTATATAAAACATGTTTTCCCGACACTTTCCGCATTAAATTCGGTAGGAAGATTTACGTTTGTATAACAATTTCTTAGGTTTTGGCTCGTAAGAAACTTACTTATATATGTCAAATTTCATCTCTACATTCGTACTTTTAAGCCAGTAATGAGCGTTAAAGTAATTATCTGGAGGGGACCTTATAGGGGGGCAGGGTCAATTATGTACCGATCTACATAAAGTTTGCTAGAGAGGATTTTGCTCGTAAGAGACTTACTTATATCAAATTTCATTGCTATACTCGTATTTTTAAGTCAGTAATGAACGTTAAAGTCGTTTTTTGAAGGGGACCTTATATGGGGGATAGGGTCAATTATGGAGCGATCCACATAAAATTTGATAGAGAGATTTTGACTCGCATGGAACTTATGTGTGTCGAATTTCATCGTTATACTCGTACTTTTAAGACAGTAATTACCGTTAAAATCACTTTCTGAAGGAGACCTTATATGGGGGGGGATGTAGGGTCAAATTTTGACCGATCCGCATAAAATTTGGTAGAGAGGTTTTGGCTCATCAGGGACTTACTTATGTCAAATTTCATTGCTTTAATCGTATTTTTAAGCCAGTAATGAGCGTTAAAGTCATTTTTTGAAGGGAACCTTATATGGGGGGTAGGGTCAATTATGGACCGATTCACATAAAATTTGGTACAGGGGTTTCGGTTCCTAAGATATAAAATTTGCTAGATAGATTTTGACTCGCATGAAACTTATATGTGTCGAATTTTATCGCTATATTCGTATTTTTAAGCCAGTAATGCGTTATAGTGATTTTCCGAAGGGGACCTTATATGGGGGGTAGGTTCAATTATGGACCGATCCTCATATAATTTGGTAGGGAGATTTTGGCTATCATGAAACTTATTTGTGTCAAATTTCATGGCTATACTCGTACTTTTAAACCAGATATGCCCGTTATGCTATCCGAAAACGTGGACCGATATTGCCCATTTTCAATACCAAACAAGCCTTATCTAGATCATTCCGTTCGGACTCTATCGTGCTTTCAACGGACAGACAGACAGACAGACGGGCGGACATGGCTTGATCGTCTTAGAATTTAATAAGGACCCAGAATATACTCGTATATACTTTTGTGGGTCTATGACCAATATTTCGATGTGTTACAAACGGAATGACAAAATCAATATACCCCTCATCTTTTTTGATGGTGGGTATAAAAATTTTATTTTGTTTCAGAAATAAGATTAACTGAAAAATAATGCTATTTAAATATCAAATTTAGAGTCGACATTAATATTAATAAACATTTGTATGTAATATTTTTTAGTACATACAAATATATGTATGTATGTATGTATTTATGTATGTATGTATGTATGTATGTATGTATGTATGTATGTATGTATGTATGTATGTATGTATGTATGTATGTATGTATGTATGTATGTATGTATGTATGTATGTATGTATGTATGTATGTATGTATGTATGTATGTATGTATGTATGTATGTATGTATGTATGTATGTATGTATGTATGTATGAATGCTAGGGTTTTCCAGCTAAAAAAAAATAAATTTTTCAAAGTAAATGTACTTTTTATAAATTTTTAAATAATAACTCAAAAAAGCTCATAATTCCTTCCTAAATATGAACCAATGTATTTCGAATTTTACAAAGCCGCCTTCAAACATACATAAATAAAACTTGTATTTCCAAATAAAAATTTTCAGGAATATGTTTGTTTATCTGTATGTTTGGGTATTTAATAATATGTATTAGTCATACGTTAAATTATACAATGACCTTATGCATACATATTTATCAGACAATGTTGTATTGTAAGCACTCTCATATTCGTTCGAATTTTATATAAAAGTTAATCATTACATCTTCATATTTTAAGATGACAAATCTATTCTCTCAAAAAAAGAACATTTAATTCCAATTTTTTTACATGATCAGAATAATAAATATTTCGAATACTTCCTTTACGATACGTCAATGCATCAGATCCTTTTATAGAACTGTATGCGCTTTTTGAAACCTATTTACAATACGTGTAAATTATGTAAAGAATCAGCCGCTGCAACAGCTGAACAACTTTATCAGAGAATTTTTTTTAGAATTGCTTTTATCGTATTGCTTTGTTTAAAAGTACTTATTTTTAATTATAACTGTACAAATGCGGCATAATAAAAATAACTTAAGAACTTCATATCGAAACTAAGCATTTGATTTAAAATACCATTGAAAATAGCAAAAACTTGATATTTTTATAAAATAAGCTTATCCAATGTTTTCAAAACTTGCTAACGGTTTTTATTGCTTTAAAACTAAATGGATTAAATGTATCTGTATTTGAAATGCAAATTTTCGAAATTATTAATTCCATAAATAGGGACAGTAAAAAGCGTGAGTGTCAATAATTTTCAGAGGTTTTTGAACTACTAATATACATATTAATATTTAAATTATGTACAACAAATTTTAGTCTGCGTAAGTTTAATTAATTGAGTTTTCGTTCATCTCAACAATTGTTGTGTGAAGTTTTTGTATAATTTTCGTTTAATAATGGGATAATTGCAAAATATTCGGTTAATCGAATAACTGAAATATGACAGTTTTCCCATAAATATATACTAATTGTTTCTTTCTATAATCAATAACATTTTGTATAATTTTCTAATTATACACTTAATTTAACTTTTAAAATAAATTAATAATGCTAATAATTTAATAGTTTAATTGATTTTTAATAAAAAATTATTAATAAAAAATATATTATATATTATAAACTAATACATAAAATGGAATTTCAATTGGAATGGAATTTCAACTAAAACAAATTCATTAATTGCTTGATTAATTATTTGAAAATCAGAAATCAATGATTCTTACGAAATTAATCGGATTATCGAATTACAAATTATCGAATGACGGTTAATATTTTTAATATAAAACTGTGTGTATGCTTTCGAATATCTTTCCTGAAATTTCTAATAAAATTTGTTAAAATTTTACTGAGGTTTCGATCGGTTTCGAATGCCACAATTTGCCTCAGAGATGTGTCACTGTGGGCACCACAGAAATCACATAGTCAAGGAAATTAGGGTGGGAGACCATTTTCCCTTATGTATGAACTCTCAACATAAGGGAATGGTAATTATAAGGGTACCACAATCATCACAAAGCCTCCGAGCGAATATGCGAGCAACCCACGATATTTACTTTACTTTAAGATATTTATTCAAAATTTCGTTTTCGTTTATACTACTAGTATATTCATATTTGGGAATTGTAAATAAATAAATAAATAAAATCCCTACGATATTGATAATGAAAATTTAACTAAATCGGGAAACCTTAAACCAATTTAAACTCGAAATGAATTATGTTGCTATATATGTGAATTTATTTTTGAGGTTACATGTTTAGGTCGTAAAATTATATATCCGTAAAATATTTTAATGAGCACAGGATTTTGGCATAATGAAAAAAGAAAGCTTTTATTTGACACTAATATTTTCGCAAATCATATGGCGCTATAGTTGTCTGAAAGCAGAATGTTTTTTTTTATTTTTCTTTTGCGAGAACTACTTAATCCATTAATAAAATTTACTACAAAAAATTACAACATTTTTTCATCAAGTCTTTGTTAAAAATACTAAGAAAAAGAAATTTAAATTTTGCAAAAATTTTAAAAAGTTCGCATTTCCCTATTTTTTATGTGCATTTGACTAGGAGGTTTTAATTATAATGAGATTAAATTTACGCGGTATTACAAAATATTTACGTCTATACTCGACATGTTTGTTAAGACCCTGCTCTTCCTTAGATCTCTGACATCAACAAGATATACCTTAAATTGCATTATATCTCTACACTTATTAAATACCGTTGCTTTAATTTAATTTGATTAATGGCGCACATGGACTAATAGTCCATAAAAAAATCCACGAAAAAGTATTAATAGAATTATTATAAAGATTTTTAAATGTTTAAAGTCTTGTGACTATTATTTATAAAGGATGGCTCTGTAAGTTATCAACTTAGAGTATAGTTTTGATAGTTACTATGGTAGTAGTTACATAGTTTAAATGTATATACATCAAATCCGAAGAAATGCTCCTAGGCCTCTATCGGGCCTGTTTTGCGCTCCTTAACCAGTGCCTCAGATGGGAATCGAACCCACCACCTCCTGTCTACCTACCGGAGGCTTTGGTAAATTATACCGAAATGTATCAAAACTTTTACTAATTTTAAAAGATTAATAAAATGCGAAGCATTTTCATTCAGTTTCATCGATTCTTAAAAATTTTTAATATATATGTATGTATATTAGATTTTCGAAAAATTCTTATTATACATTAAATTTGTATTCTTATCAATCTAGTCAAAATTCATCAAAACATTATTTTAATTAAATAAATTCATGCATAAATAAATAAGTACGCCGGCATTTGATTATTTTCTTATTAAATGTTGATTTATTATAAAATTTGACTCCATTTAAAAAAATAAAATGATTTTTTTATACCAAAATATAAAAAAAAACATTTATTTAAAGCTGTCAGTATTAAAAAGATATACATTGATAAATAGAAATAATTTATAACTATTTACTTAGTTATTTTTATTGAATATAAATTTTAAAATAATTGCAGTTATTGTGAATAAATAACTGAATATTTTTAATATTGAAAGAATTAACTAACAACTTACATGATCATTTTTATCTGTTAGATCCTCCATTTCTTGACTTAAATTGTTGTTTTCCATTTGTAAAGATGTGTGTAGATGATGATCTGTCATGTTGTTATTCGAGTGTGTAGAATTCGCGTGAATTGTTTAAATTCTAAAATATTTATAAAATATTTATGGACTTTCACATAAAGTTTTTAATGGATGTAGGTATAGACTTTCGTTTTAAATGCCCCAATGGTTTTTTATCACGATTTTTATTTGTTTGCGTTTGTTATATTTTCTTTTCTTTGTTTTTTTATAAAAATTTTATTAAGTATTTATTTATTATAAACTTTTGTTGTTTATTTTTATTTTAATAAAAATCTTAATTATTATTATCTGCACCGTTTAACGTATTGGCACTATTAACAGTCTCTGCAAACTGAATTGTTGATGCTGTGTATTTAATGCTGAGACCTAATGTCCGAATTCATGGGATTCACATAGAGATCATTTATTAATGCGATATTTGTATTTGCTCTTTTTACTCTTAGGCAGATGTTCTCAATATTTGTTTTTATATAAAATAAATAATGTAGTGGGAATCACTATTAATATATGTATAATAAAAAAATGCACTGAATTCTACTCCGGAATATTTATGTTATGAATACACCTACATACATATGTATGTATGTATATTGCATAGGGGAATATTTGAAAATAAACTGTGGACAAAATTGAAAATTGTTCTTAATTTTTTAATTTTTCAGAAAAATTAAAATTTTTTGTAATGTTACAGTTATTTATTTGGAATGTGACGGTTATTTATGATTCATATCAGGAATGGCAAATGGAATTTTCAAATTGCACAAAACAACATTTAAAAGTGTACTTTTTTTGAATCCGATTGAACCAAATCTATATTTTTGCAAATTTATATCAATATAAAGCAAAAGCATTTCAAGCCGACTTCTTCAGTCAGTAAAATTATCAATATTTGTATGTATTAATAACCAAATTTATCAATCAATGTACTACTAGTCCATTGACGGGAGACTAGACAATAAACTAGTATAAAGAGTTTTTATACTACATAGTACAAAGACTAAATCATAGAATAAGTAGTCCTAGAAACATTTTAAATGTCTAGTTGAAAACTATAGATTATCATTATACTAATCAATAAATACGACAATTTATTCATTAGACTGGTTCTTAGACTATTGGACTATTGACTCTATGGACTAGAAGATAGAGTAGTCTATAAACTAGACGAGAGACTAGTCCTAGAGATTAGACATTATATTCGTGTATTGGGTCATTGGTGTACTAATGTACTTTTGAAGATCGAATTGTACCAAAACGAGTACAATTGTACCAATTTTGCCAACCCTGATTGATACACTATTGGTAGCGGCTTTAAAAAAACTTTGAAAAAATAATTTAAAAAGTATATCGAGGGACTATATTCAATAGTCTCTATCTAAAATAATACAAGTTTTCAGGAGAGCAAAAAAACTGTTTATTTCGCTAGTTCGTGAAGATTTTTTAATTTTTTCTTTTACAATATATTTTTACGACCATATTCTAAACCATTATATAAAAAGAATTTTAATTTTTGCATTATTTACAAAATTATTCACAAATTTATATCAGATAGAGCTTATTTTTCTACGAAAATGTTCATTCAACCAACAGATAGAGAGTTTTTCATGGAAACATAAAATTTTTATTTGAATTAAAATCAATAAATATTATATTTTATACAATTTAATGGAGGAAAAGAAACCAAATTGTTGAAAAAACAACAGATTATAATGTTTTGGTCCAAAATCAATGTTATATAGTTAAACACGACAATAAAATTGATTTAATTAGTATCATAATGAGCGATATCTCAAAAACTATTAGACCGATTTTAAATATTTTGACGGATTTGTGTTCAGCATGTCCAAATTATTAAGAAGACTTTTTTTGCAACAGAAAATTATCCAAAGGGATCGAGTTTGAAGCAATTTTTGGATAAGATAGAGAGTTTTGCATTCAGAATTTTTCTTTTTTTAAGATAGAGAAATTTAAAAAATGCTATAAAATTGCCAAAAAATATTTTTTTTTCTTTGAAATTTATATCACTAATGCGCGATAGTTTGCTGAATATTTTGCCATCAAAATCTCATTTTCATAAAAATGACAGATAGCGACTATTGAATATAGTCCCTCGATATACTCTTTTTATAATTAGTCTAGCTCACGAACGGTCATCGCTGCATTTTAAATATTTTGGGAATCATACTTTAGTATGACGCATTCTAAAATCCCGAATTTTGGATTATGCAAGTCTTATATTAAATGAACGATATACAGTTCATATTATTTTTTCATTTGGGTTATAGTTCAAATATTTCTAATTTAAATTCGAACTTAAGATAGGAATTGCATATTGAAAATGGGAATTTGCGAACCACTGACATTTTCAAATTCCCCTAAATTATTGAGAACAACTAGAAAAGAGCTCAAATATGTTGTTTTTATGAGATTATCTCATAAAGATAGATTTAAAAGAGAAATATACAAAAAGAAATAGTAAAAACAATAAAATAAAATCACAGTGTGCTTTTTCAGAATATAAATATTGTGTAAACAAAAGACCAACAACCACAACATATTAACAAAAAATATACACAACTGAGAATTAAAAACACAAACTTTTGAAAATCAAATATGTACCTACCTACAAACATACATACGTCATAATTTAATTTCAAACAACTTTTATAAACTAGAGTTAGATAGAAATTGTACTTTTTTTGTTGAATATTTTTAAACTCATTAGTTATACCAATTTCACATTATTACCATAGAAAAATCACTAAAATCACTTTTGGGGGATTTTTCCGAAGTAGACACAATGACTAATATTTATTTTAACATTATTTTTATGGAAAAGTGAAAAATACTTTACCAATCTTTTAATAAAGATTACAAAGTTGAGTAATTTTTGAGGTATTTTTTTACAGAACAGGTTTTTAGTTTTATACAAAACGGTTACTTATAGAGAAATTGACAACTTTTGAATGGTAGTTTAGTTTAACAAAATGCGTAACGAACTCGTAAATGTCCACAAGAAAACTAGAATTATTTTTGCAATACTTTTCTTTTCCTCTAAAGAGAAGGTGGCGTGCTAAACATTCATTACCCAAAGTACATAAGAATGTGTACACTTGTAGTAGTTGTATACTATTAAAAAATACATACAATTAAAAACAAACATTTGTAAAAAATTTAAACCACTATATTTTAAACTGCTGATTAGTACTCAAAGAACGTTTTCATTAGAGTATTCAAATCGAAAACGATAACGAATTAACCGGTTTTTTAAGTAAAGTGAAAATTATCTAAATTCTTAACGTCTTAAAAGTCTTCCAAATTTTGAAGGTGAAGATGCGGCAGATAGGTACAGCAGCGGTTTTCTATTAAAATTATCTCTGCAAATATAACTTTTAAATTACATCTTTTAAATTATTTTGCGATAATTTAATTTAATATACATATGCAGGAAAAAATCTGATAAAATGTTTGCTCGTGGAGAAATTTGTCTTTAAAGTTACACTTTCAAAATTAAATTTTTTCGATTACTAATATTGGTCAAATAACATGATGTGTACAAAAATTAATAACTTCTGTTTGAAAATTGATATTTACACATTATATTACTTAATTAATAATTAAACTCTTATTATGAAAATGTAGTATATGGGTCATTTCGTGTTAAGTGTAGTAGGCCAGACACGGTCCAGAACTGCCGGACTTAGAGGCGATCAAATTTTGACAATTTGGTCATACAGAATTTTATTCAAATATATGTAACTTTTCACCTATTATATACTTTAAGGTCTTTATAGTCCCATAATGGGATGCGAGTGGGATATCTATCAAAAAAATATTTTTAACTTAAGAATAAAATATTTCTCAATATTTGGCACTTAATTTCCTCCTATTTTTTCAAAATGGACGTTTTTGTTGTATTTTTTACTCCAGACCATTAGACCATTTTCTTTACGAGCTTTATAGTTACATAATGGGATGCAAGGGGCTTATGTAAAGAACACTGCTTTTTGAGTTCAAATATTTTTTTATAGATATCCCACTCGCATCCCACTAAGTATCCACAAAACTCTTAAAGGAAATGGTCTAAACTTTTGTACTGAGTAAATTAGTTACATGAACTTAATTTTTTTTAACCCAAAAAAGTGTAAAGAAACAGTTTTATTTATGTGAATTATATATTTAAATTAAATTATATGAAATATACAGGTCTGTCACAGAATTCCATTCCGAATTATTTCCGTATTTTTGTTTCTTCAGAAAAAGAAAACGAAAAATTCTTTCGTAATAAAACCACTTTCAGTTTTTAAAGTGGAATTGAAATGTTTTTTAAAGTTTCAATAAAAAGAACCTTTACTAAATACGATGCTGTTTTTGTAAAGCTAAACAGAATCAATTTTAAATAAAATCAAAAAATTTTATTTTTTTTGTGAACTAACTACATAATTCGGAATTTGGAGAAACTAAAACAAAATCGATCGGAATAATAATACGGAATTAAAACCAATCCGATCGAAATGTTAGAGACCTGATAATTAGTTTTGGCTTATCTTTATGTATCAGCTGATATAATGAGTCGATGGCAACCGAACTTCAGCTGCCAGCTTCAAAATAAGAAAAAGATCTTAGTCTAGAAGTGGTTCAAGTCAACCAAAAACTCGTTGGACGAATATGATTGATGAATAAAACATTCATTATTTATAGTTTCCAAGGTATTTCTTAAAAAGCCTCCAGAAACCACATCATTTTTGCAACTGGCAAGGCAAGTGAAGTGGCGACCGATATACACAATCGACCCGTAAAATTTATTTTACTATTAAACCCCAAATTTGGAACTCCTAATTAATAATTACCCTTTTTTAAACTTTCAAAACACGTTAATTTTTATATATAATTTTACCCAAAAAATATATATTTATTTTTTATTATCCATTATGAAATCAGATGCATATGTATGTTTGTATATTGAAGGTGATTTGCTTGTGTATGTAAGTCGTAACAAGTAGTGCATTTTCCAACCAGGGGAAATGGAAAAGTCAAGTGCCTATTAAACGCTAAATTACATTTGTTAAACAGTTAAGGGCACTTCAGCTGCAACATCAGCTACATTACTTTTAATGGCAATTTTAGCAACACCGGATGAACACTCTGCGGCGCCGCCCATTAAAACTAAAAGTAAACCATTATGTGCCATGTTCTTCCAAATTTTCGATATCCATTTGTTAACACTTTCTATTGTGTTATCGAATGACGATGCTCGAAGTTCATCTGAAGTTATGTGCAGATTACAAAGGGTCAGAGCGTTCTCCAGCAATATTTCTTTGCACTTACGAACTGCCTCTTTATTCGATGAGAGTTCATGAAGTAAAAAGCATTTTTGTGAATTGTCCAGTGAAGCTTGTTCAGCTTTCTTCAATAGTTCCTGCACGGTCGATGACAGTGGATTGGCTGTAATAATTGCAGTTCGTTTATCGCGCTGTGAGGCATGAGCAAATAAATTATTTTTTATAGTGTCGCCGCTGGCAGCTTTTATTATGTCGTGTAAACGTTTCTTTTGTGTTAATATTTCATCTCCGAATTCCATACTGTTGGCTAGTTTCAGTTTTACCAGTTTCAAACTTGAAACTGAATCTTCAACAGAATCGTGGCCACCTTCATGCCCCTGAATTGTTTCCTTTAAAAAGGCCATTGCCAATTTCTGCAATTTTGATTTGCGCTTCCGAACCCCGCTCATATTAAAGCATACACTGGTGTCAATAACATATGGATGCATCATTCGCATGGCATTTAAATCACAATTCAATGATTGCCCTACCAGAATTGCATCTGGAGGTAAAAGAGCTCTAACTTCCTTATGGACATCGCTCAGTTCTTTAGTTACTTTCATCATAATCTCTTCAGTAATACCGGAATATTGGGTCAAATAATCGACAATTTTGTTGGTGGGTCTTACAAGAGTTTCGTATACTGTCTCACAGTTTTCATTAACGATGGAAATACGTGTCAGTTCGTTTACGCCTTTAACAGTGCGACACATTTCACAATCAACACCAAATAGAGGACTACGATTGGTAACAGGGGCGTATTTTTCCTTGGTCATCACATAAGTGGAAAATTGTCTATTTAATTCACCTCTTAGAGGCATTGGGTAACCTTCATCTACCATTTGCAGTGCAGAAAGCAACAATTTAGTGCGTGGAAATTTATCATTGGGGTGTAAATCATTACTCGCTGGATCAACGGGTGTATCCTCTACTGGAAAAATACCATTAATCAAAAGTGTTGGGTCCTTATTTAGTTCTACGGCTGCCTCTAGAGAGCCATGTTTTTCGATTAGTTCATGAGCTTGGGCATTTGTCAGTGGCACCTGTGTTAATTCCTCAATCATTACCATTGATTTCCCATCTTTTTTGCTACTTGGCATAACAACTTCTAATCTGGTGTCAAATATTTTATTAATTTTTTCAAATTTACTTTCATTTGAAAGATAGTGATATAAAGATAGGCCTTCTAGGCAAACAACTACCGTATGTGATAATTGTTGCGGTTTGTCAAAGAAACACCATCTATCAGGAGCGCAAGGAGACTTTTTCCCCAGAAGTGCTGACATAACAAGATGTTGTACATCTGTGAGGAATATAGGTGTACGATCATCATCTTTGACAGAAAGTAGAGCGCGTTGTCCAAATTCGCGTAATCGGAGGCTTGGTATGTTTTCTAACTGTCTTTTACGTTCTCTCAGTTCCTTCTTAAGTTGTTTATATTGATCCTCTGATAAATTCAAATTTTTTAATTCTTCTTCTTCTGGACCAGAAGTAACATCACTCTCCGTTGGTTGATCTTCATTCATAATTTTTTGTTTTTTGTTCAAGGGTTCTTCGGAATTGCTGGGAAAACGATTTTTCTTTCCCTGCTTCTTTTTTTGAGACACCTGAAAACATAAGAGTATTTAAGTAACTACATCACAAAAGAAATTGCATTTAAATTACCTGAATAAATCCGTCATCATCATTGTTGTCATCATTCGGTTTTGCGTTATCTTGAGCAGATTCTACTCGTCTCTCAGCCATTATTTCCTCCTGCCTATCCTTATCATTCAGTTTCACTAAATTGGCTAATGCTGCCAATTTCTTTTTCTTCTTTTCGCTACGTTCTTGTTGTTTTGTAGTCAAGGTTTTCATTACTCTAGGAACGTAATTTTAAGAATCAAAGTAATATTCAAATATCACTGGATCATTAAATTATATTTTTTCGTAAAATATAAAAATTTTTCTATACCCATGTGTTTTCCAGATTGTTTTTATTTGTTTTGCTTCTGCCAAATGTGTCAACATGTGCTGTTCAGATAGGTGTTGCCAGCTTAATGTTTATGGCTAAGGGAAAAAATCTTAGAAAAAGTCGACTTTTGGACTTTCAAATAAGGTTGATTTCGAAAGTCGATTTTGGTTTCCTATATGAAAAATATTTAGCTGAGAGATTATTTTATCACCAATTGTAAATTAGAAAATACTTATGTAACAGAAAATTAATAAGAATTAATAATTTTTATTGTTTATAAGCACACATTCTTTTAGACGCTCTTCAACCTGGTATAGAGATTTTCTATTATGGTTTTAAAGAACGCTAAAAATACTTTTTGTATATCAACATTTTTGGGCTTAAGCCGGATCCACAATGCTAGCAACATTATCAGGTGCTTTTCACAATGTTAACAACCAATTCAATGAATGATTTTTTAAACATTCTTATTGATTTTCTAATAGATTTTATGCAAAATTTTTGTTTTTTTTTAATATAATATTAAACGACAAAAAATTTTTCATAGATATTGAAATTATTGTTAAGGTAGACTACACAAGCGGCTTGACAAACATACTTTTTTCATTCTAACACACACTGATAGAGTTATTCAAGATTTGGATCCCTAAGATATCAAAGGTTTTCAGAAAATTCAATTCAATGTTACTAACGCAAGTTGGTTTGATATCTACTAACTGATATAAATTGGTGACCACAATGATTACCTATGTAAAAAGTGCAGGTCGAAATTTTTTAGATTATTTTACGATATTAAAACAAATCGCTTAAATATGAGAGAATTAACATAAAAAACATGAAATTTTTTAATAAATATGTTTGGTCAAACCCTTTAGACGATTTTCATCAGAAAACTCATCTAGCATTCTTATTTAAGTATTAAAGGTAATATGAGGGTTAATTGATTGATTTTCTTTCAAATTATATATGGCAACGCCCGTTACTACGATTTTTTACAACTCTGCATACGAGTGCTGTCAATATGGAGTATTTCCAATTCATATACAGCGTTTTTCGTGTGTTTTATTATATTGGTAATTCATTCATTTAATAAATTTTAATGATAATTTCTCAGATTTTAAATATAATAAATTTGTTTCATTAGTTTTGTATAAAATTTACTATTACAACAAATGTGTTTCGAGCGTTTTTTGTTACAAATTATATTATTTTGTTAAAATAAAAGTTAGCAACAGTGTTTGCATTATTGTTAAATTTAGTGTCAAAATAACAATCAACCGGTCAAGACTGAATTCATCTTTTTTTTTCGTAGATAGTCGTTAAACTATTTATAAAATTTGTTACTCTGGACAAATTTAGGTTTTAAAAGAAAAATTCTTAACATTCCAAAAGCGAAAGTAAAAATTGTAGATGTAATAAAAAGTAATATAATGCCAAATTGACGTGTTTTAAAAAGTGTATTTTTCCGAGGTAAGAACATGAAAACACACAACACATCAAGTGCAAAAAAGAAAAAAATCCCAGAAGAATATATTGTTTTAGTACTAATTAAATAGAAGGTGGTGTTTTTGGTAGTTTTGTTATCAAGTGGTGCACTTAAAAAAACAAAATAAATACAATTGTTGAGATAAAAACTGTATACGTTTTGTGTTCAAAAAATATAAAGATACAAAATTGGTTAAGGTTGTTTTTAATAGTTGCTATTTTCAATTACAATTATGTATGTAAATTAATTTACCTCCCAAACCTGTTTCTAGTAAATGATTAAGATTTTTAACACGCATACATTGCAAATATTCTACTCTTCCATTCAGACTAAAAGTGTTCCTTTTAGTTTTATTATTTTTTTTATTTACAAGCACACACACCTTTTAGATATAACTTTTGTCTGGTGGTATGTTTGTTATTTATTTTAATAAATTCATCTAAGCAGTTGTGTTTATATTTAATAATGAAACAATATAAAACAAATATAAACAAAATAAATAACTTTATTTAATATTTAAGCTGACGTTTCACTGAGTGCTTCTTAAAATTTCTTACTTTTGATGAGTTGGTTTATTTATCTTTTTGTTATTGCTGCCCCCAAGCAACAATAATGTTTTTGGATTATGGTTTAACCTACTTTTTTACTTTTTAGTTCATTTTCTTCAGTTGTCTTATTCTTTGTTCTTTTCTTTAAATAGTCGCTTACGGTGGCTGTTAAATAGGTATTTTACTTGAAGTTTTCTTCAATTTTTTTTTTTTTGGAGAAATCAGTATTTTTTGTTGTAATTTTATAGGTGGATTAATCACCTGCATATCTACACATATTCGATTCGTTCCATTAAATTGATGATCATTTGGCGTTTTGTTGTTTATCAAATGAATACTTCTTTCATGGCTGCAAATTTTTTCATCATTCGAGTTTATTGACTTTTTTAAGGTCAGTGTAAAACATTGAAGCAAAACTACAATATAAATGACAACTTTTGTTGTTGTTTATGCATTGTAACATAAACATGGATACGTGGGTACATTGGTAATTAGACAAATTGAAAATACAGTGTTAGAAAAAAATAACAACGAACAATATGTAAATATACCACATATCGTCATTATACTTATTAAACCTCTTTTCGATATTTGATAAGATTTTCGTGAAATCGGGTCTTTGGTCCATCTCCACATTTTAAAACTAAATATGTAAATAGTGGGATAGGATCAATTATGGACCGTTTCTCTTAAAATTTGGTTTTTCTAAAACATATTTTTGTCGAATTACATTACATCTTAGGACCGTCATGAGCATTAAATATTACAATAATTGAAATAAAGTATTTTATAAAGGGACGTTATATGTATATTATAGTTTATTATTATGAAACTTGGTAGAGAGATATTGGTTACAATAAAACTTATTAATGGTGAATAAGACAAGCGTGTACATAGCTTAGCGTACTTGTGGAAAATGTCAGCCCTTTTGTACTGGTTTTTTTTGATGACGATTATAAAAAATACTCAGTTTGTATTATTCATTAAGAATTATACCACTTTGATGTTGTGATGCAATTTCCAAAGATGGTATCCCACATCAATGTTTTTATAAATGTTTGAGCTAATAATTATATTTTGGTCTTTTGATGAATATGCATGTATGTATATTAAGGATGTAACAAATACTTGCTTTCGCATATACAAATTATTTATTCACTTTTATATTTTAGTAATTCTAGCCTACACTTTTGGTACGTTTTTATATACTTTTGCAATTTAGAAACACTAATATTATGAATAACCATTACAGCATAAAACAAATATAAAAATTTCGACGATACCCCAAAAGTCAGAAAAATAGTAGAAAAAACTGGTGACATGTTCCCCGATTTCCTTCAGGGGTTTTATAACTTAATTCTTCATTAAAATGCTGAATAAAATGTTTATACCACTAATATATGCACAGTAATACATGATGCATTTTACAATCTTAAACGAAAACAGGATTTTATTTGGTAGTAGAAAAACAAGTAATTTGTGTGGTACGTATTTTGGAAAACACACTTCATTCCGGTATTGTTAAAATTCATCAATTAAACGTGCAATGATTTCAGTAGTAGACGGGTTTTTCATTTTTTTTTTCAATCAAGTTTTATAAGTGGCGAAATACAATTTTGAAATTGTTGAACATTAAACAAGAGTTTACAAAATTAATTGAACGTAGCTGATGGCTTAAAAAAAGATTTTTATTCGAAATTGCTGCCTTTGGAACTAGTTCTGTGGAAGAGATCGCAATCGTTATGTGGAACTGTTCTGGGACTAGTTCTTTAACCGTTTTATCGATATAATTTAGTTAAATGATATCGATAAAGCATCAGGAGATGTGTAATTGTACCGTATACATATAACAACGAGAAACAAATTATCGGCATTATAAAATACTATCTTTAGTTATTAGCAGGGAAACCGAAAACATGCTCTAAAAAAAGTGTTTTAAGCGCTTTAAATATGCCGTAAAAATCTCAAAATATGCTCTTAAAATTTAAAAAATATGCTCCAAAAATAATTATTTTAAATTATATTTTAACATTGAAAAGCTTAAAAAGACTGAAATTGTAATGAAATAATAAATATTTAATGTCATATTTCATCCTACTAGATTTTTTATAATTGATTCATCTGTTAGTTTGAAGAACTAGTTTAATAGAACTCTGTTTTACGTTCAGATAACCAATAAATAACATGAAGCCATTTGGTCCCCAAAAAAACATATTTCAAACTACAAAGTTTGACACATTTCTTCCAATTGTATTCATAGCTTCACACAGAAAAACGCCGAAACACGTGAACTTAATTTTCGGTCGTAGAATCTAGTGGCATACTCCGTTTTGAAAAGTTAGGTAAAAATCGGGAGATATTGGATTTTAAATTTTACACTGTTTCTGAGGTGTTTTTTGATTATTTAAATTAAAAAAACTTTCACGCATAGAAAATTATGAATTAATTATGCACATACATATATTTAGCTTTTTATAATTAGTTCGTATGTCTATGCGTGAAAACTATTTTCAAAAATTTAAAAATTAAAAAATCACCTCATAAAGAGTTCATACTTTAAAACACAATATCTCCCGATTTTGACCTAAATTTTCAAAACGGAGTAGGCCAATAGATTCTACGACCCAAAATTAAGTTTAGGTGTCTCGGCGTTTTTCTGTGTCTTTTTAACATACTTACAGTGTTATCAATACTAGTTTTTTAAACGATAAAAATGGATTGGTGTCATGAAATCCAAAGTAATCGGGTTTATGTCCGATTTAAAATTTAATGCTTTATTGAATAAAAAATATAACATTGGTTTTCATGAGACTAATGTATTTTTTACAGTTTTTAAGTTCTACAAAGAAAATATTTTTTTTCAAAATTGTAAAATAGGCTAAAAAATTAAAAAAAATAAATTTGATTTTTTTTAAATAAAGTTTTGAAAAGAAAATTAAAAATGTACAAAAATGAAAAAATATGCACTAAAAGAGTAAAATATGCTCTAAAAACTCGAAAATATGCCTTAAATATGATACAAAAGTCAAATCATGCA